GTGAAATCAGCTACTTACTTCACAAATAAGAAATGTCACACTTGATGGTCTATTCATAATAACGATATTTATATTTCGTTATTACATACAACCACTGACGATTTAAAATTCAGTCATATGTAATTTATATCTTACAATCACAACTCCTTGTGATTAACAAATTACCATGACTTGAATCTACGAATTCTATTGTTTAATTTATTAGAACATTAATTCAATTAAATAATAGATCTTACTATAAATATGTATCAATTATATATATTAAAAGTATTTATGTCCAAAGTTGATTGGATTTAGGGCATAACACTTACACTACTTTGATTAATCCTACCCATAGAAAGAAAGAGGGGATCGTGATAAATATTATTAGTTATTTTATCAGTTTTGTTTAGTCGAGCATATCTAATATATTATAAATATATTAAGCAATACAAATTGTGTGAACTTGAAAGGAATTAATGTGCAAGATAAAGTTAGTTATGGTAAAGACCTCAAACTTGTTTTATATCTCACATATTAATGGAAATACCATTCGAATATGCGCATCACAAAGTTAAAAGTATCAGTTGTGCTGCATTTTTTGTTTCCGTTTTCGTGCAACCTAACTTTAAGGCAACAGAAAAAAAACCATCATTAATGTTGTTCTGCTATCAAATGCTGATCATTTGGCTCATCCATTGCCACAAAACACGAAAAAGAATAATTGAGCGAGAGATAGAAGTACACATGCTGACAGCCTCAACACTGATTGAATCGTATAAGGTGGACAGCATTGGATGAGGAAATACCCATGAATAGCCGGTTGAAAAGGTCAATATTCAAGTTTAGCCTTTCACCAAGAAGTAAAAATAAAAAAAATAAAACCAAAAACTAATTTGAAATACCTAAAAAGGCAAAAATACCCCTATTACACATAAAAATCTCCTCCACCATTCCAAATAAACCGACCCAATCCTCTGAAGACAAAAAAAAGAAACCGACCATAAAATTGGAGCCATCGACCAACCAAAAAAAAATGCAAAAAGGCGACCAAAAAAGAGTAAAAAATGGGGACCTCCACACACCGTGAATTGACGAGATAGGTTAGTTTTGAACTATTGTTGTGATTTTGTTGTGATTTTCTTTGAATTTGTTTGAAATGATTTGAATTTATTTTGTTTGATTTTATTGTAGATCGGGTAGAATAAGAGTTAGGTCATTGTTTGTAATATTCAAATGGATTTATGAAGCTTGGGTGGCCAGAAATGGAGTTTTTCGGCACCATTTCCGGCCAAAATAGTGTTGGAACTGCTGTTAAGAGCAGTTTGAACAAAAAAATCGCTGTTAATAGCAGTTTTTTATGCCGCTGTTAACAGTAGTTTTTTGGTCCTTTAACAAAGGCCCAATTGTTTTTTAATTTTAAAATAAGAAATATTTATATAAAATTTACATAACTCAATAATTTACGAAATTGAAAAATATTTATATAATTGAATATTTTAGGTAATTAAATAAAATTTATATAATTCAATATTT